GCGGGATATTGTATTTGCTTGCTTTTGTCTCTTTTTATGCAATTTTAGCAATGTTCAAGTGTCAAACTGGAGCATCCAAGCTGACCACATTTATCCCTTTGCACGGTAGATCCATTTGCTAAAGGCTAATCCCAGACGAATAATATGTCATCATGCTCCAAGTCGTCTCAGACTGGTATTTTGAACATAACAACTAGTTCACTCCACTCTAAAAGCATCAAAGTTGCGCAGAGCATCTTTAGAATGTGATGAAAAAGAATATTTGCATCATGTTGCCATCAAATCTAAAGCAACGGCATTGTGCCATTATGTAGATATGGACCAACAACTCTGAGGAATGTTTCTCTCTTCTCTGTCACACGCAGAGGGACGACTGCATGCAGTCCCACACGATCTCCAGAACAGACACCAAAGATCTAGCGACCCTGTTTTAGCTCCAGATAAGCGCTATAGCGACCGACACAAGCCAGTTTCTCAACTGCTGGCAGAGGAGGAAAAGGACAATTCCACCCATATTGTTGTAAGATTGTTTTACAGATGGATTTTTAAAAAGCAAGTAAACTATACTGAGCCTTCGTTAAGTACTGAGGTTCCTTTTAAACCTGCATACAAAAATCTTGAACCACATCTTAATTTTTATAATTTGCTTTTGCAAATGCACTCACTGAAAAGTTTACCCAGTCACTTTAAATTATGACTTTTTTTTCTTTTTGTTCATATGTGCCATGGAAAAAAACACTTGTCTGAGCGTTCAAAATGGGCTTAAAGTAATCTTAGTGTTTGTGAACTTTTCAGAATCTAAAGTAAGTAAAGAAAATATATTACAATGTTATTTAGCAGACATAAGTAATTTTGGTAATCCTAAAAGTAGAATCTAAAATGTTTTCTTTGCTAATCTGATATGTATTGATACGTGCTGTTCATGTTTGCGTTTAGGCGTCTCTTAACTAGATTGATTAAATGAATAAAAATATAGAATTTTCTATTCGCTATTAAATAATTGTTTGAGGAGGAGAGGCAACACAAATTAATTCAGCTGTATGATGTTGTAGGATGTTGACCATGTCTACTATACGTCTAAAATCTACGGTCCAGGAGATGCGCTAAGCCAAAACCTTTGGGTGAATGTCGGTCAGACAGACGGGGGAAAGTGGAGAGTCCTCCAGTTTCTGTCCAGCTCACACAGACAAGCAGAGGTATGAGATCATCAAATATTTATAACCTTCTAATATTTAGTATAAAACACTTAAACATCATGTGAAATGGACGTTTTCAACTTCTGAAAATTGAAGCCAGAATATTTTTTGTAACGACCAGCAGAGGGCAGTTTCAAACACTGAACATCTTCCATCCATCCATCCATTTTCTGAACACCCTTGTCCCTCAGTGGGGTCGGGAGGGGTGCTGGTGCCTATCTCCAGCTAACGTTCCGGGCGAGAGGCGGGGTACATCCTGGACAGGTCGCCAGTCTGTCGCAGGGCAACACAGACACACAACCATGCGCACACTGAACATCTTGTACATTTGATTTGTTTTCAGAAGGCACTCTTTTTTTCTAACCACACTATTAGCCACACGGCTAACTCCCAACTCAAAATTTCAACTTCAGATACAGATATGTACTCAGTAGATATTTGTTTTAAAATTAATTTTCAGATTTTGAACCAAAATGAGAGTTCTGTGTTTCTGCTCTTTGTTGCTTCATGTCCTATGAGAATATAATCAATAATTTTACACTTTGCGTTTCAGAGAGTGAATCTTTCATTCATCTTTCCTTTTTATGGTCACCCACTGAAAGAAATCACAGTTGCTACTGGAGGTGAGTCAAGTCATTATTGACATTTTTGTCCCTTAAATGTTGCGCCTCAAATGGTGTTTTATTATTAAAGTTGCTTAACATGTTGCAGTAGAGC